CTTCACGGTCATCTCCGCCAGGAAGACCACGGTGAAGACGTAATTGGAGAGGGTCAGGAAGATGCGCTCCTGCAAGAGAGAGCAGGCGGGTGTTGCCTATCGGGGCCTCTCCTCGGGCTGAGTCTGCGCTGCATACAGAAACCAGGATCGTTCCCACATTCAACTCAGAAAAACGACCCCTCCTCTCCCCAGCAAGGCAGATAAGCCCCTCTGCCTCCCCCCTCACACACACACACACACACACACACACACACACACACACACACACACACACACACACACACACACACACACACACACACACACACACACGCACACACGCACACACACACAGTGCTAGGCTCCTGACTCACTTGCCCCCCTGCCCTGAACAGAACTGCTCCCCTCCCCAGAGTGGCCTGGAGCGGGGGCTGATCCCACCACAGTGCTGTCATCTGAGCCCCATATCTCAGGCCCTATCCCGATTTCTGTCTTAAAACTGGGGCAGGATTTAACTTGATCTCCAGCCCCCCACCCCCATTCTACTCTCCTCCTGCTCCACGGTCTCCCTTTCCTGCTGTGTGCCCCAGAAATGGACCCACAGGGCGAGCTGGGGGCCTGAGTGCGGCTGTGCATGCCCAGGTGCAGGTTTGTGCTGGGCACAGGCTGGGGCAGGAGGGGGAGAAGGCGGCCCAGCCCCTGATCGCTGTGGGCAGATTCCATTGCTGGGAGGCCAAGAGAGGAGCGAAGAGGACCGCAGAGGCAGCAGGCAGAGCTGAGTGTCAGCGAGAGGAACGGAGAAAGGGGAAAGAGAGAACATGCATGCGGCAGCTAGAGATGGAGGAGCCGAATGGAGCGGTCAGAGGAGAGATCGGGACCAGTGTAAGCAGCGGCCCTTGCCCCACCCCACACAGGCCCAGGGGTGGGAGTCCCCAGTGCTGTGCTCACTCATCCACCTCTTCCTGGGCTGGCCCCTCCATCCCTCAGGGCTCTACACCCCCGCCCCCACCCCGCCTGGCTGGAGCCCACCCTAATGGAAGCCAGAAGCCACCGCAGCATTGACATATGAACAATGGTGGGAGGCAGTGAGGGGGGACGGGGTGCCACCTCCAAGCAAGTGGGCAAGATGCCATGAGAGGCAACTGAGCCGCCCCCACCCACCCCTCTTGGACCAGACCATGTCAGGGGAGGGGCTCTGATGCCAGGTTGGGGAGAGAGCTCTCAGAACAGCTGGGAGTACCCCAAAGAGGCTGGCCCCTGGGAGTACGTCCGGATACTCAGACCTCTGGACTGTCCTTCTGAGAAGGACTGATAGGTTCATGGCCAAGCAGAAGTGACCAGTGTCCCCCCGGCCCCCTTAGTGCTCCTGAACACCTACTCGTTGTGACCTGGCAGGACCATGAGAGCCAAGGCAGCTTCCCTCTCCTGTTCTGCATCCCCCATCAATGCATGGGTCATGGGCCATGGGCCATGGGGTCATAGGTGAAACCGAGATCCTTTGCCAGGAGCAGGGAAAGCAAGACAGCTCTGCCAGCCAGGACCAGTCTCGCTGTTTGCATCATCCCAACACTCACCGGCTCACACAGGGGCCTCACAAGGCTCTGGCTCACGAGAACACGCTGCCTGCAAATAGCTGGGGTGCGACGGAGCTCGCTTTCCACCCAGGTAAGGAGCAGAGCCCACTCCCCCCGCGGGGCTGGTGCATCGCAGAGGGAGACAGAGGCAGGAGGAGAGGGGCAAGGTGCCCGTCGCCAGGGTGGGAGTCAGGGGGGCCTAAGGGAGAGTCCTGGCTCCCTCCCTCCGTGTGGTCCTGGGTCTCCTTGCCCACCCTGCTGGCTACCCCGGGAGGGGCCTGGCCCCGAGCAGGCACTCAACAGCCATCACGTGTCTTCCTGGGGACTCACAGCGCTGTGCGGGTCGATCTTGGGGCGCTCCATGGCAATGGTGATGCAGTTGAGGAAGATGATGACAAGGACCACGTGGTCGAACATCTTGTGCGTGATGATCCGGTGGCACAGGAGGCGGAACCTGCTCCAGGACAGAGGCCAAGGCTGAGCGGGAGGCAGGGCAGGGCAGAGTGAGAGGCAGCGCCCGAGGCCCCTCCCCCTCCCGGGCCCTCCCAGCCCCAGGCCCCTCTCTCACACACTCCCACGTCTGGGGACACTGCTCACATCTCTGGGATGACGGCACAGGATACTCTCCCGTGAGGAGAGGCTGGGGTACAGGTCAGGGGACCCCCGCTTACCTTGACTGAGGAGGGAAGATGTAGGCAGACCAAGAGTCTCGCTCTCGGCAGCAGGCAGGGAGCCGGGCTCGGATCCACGCTCTCATCCGCTCCCCTTTGCTCTGGGGAGGATCACAGGGGTGAGAGCAGGGCCAGGCCTCCGAGTCCCCGACCCCTCGTTCTTTTGTAGCAGCTCCACGGCCCCCACTCCTTGCCTACCTTCCCCCAGCCGTGTTTCTTCCTGCATTCCTGAAACCACCTTCCCACCTCCCTCTAAGGCCCTTTGTCCCCTGAGCATCCCTCGTCCTTCATCTCCCCCCTCCGCCCTTGCCCAAGCTCTCCACCTTTTCCCATCTCTGCCTCCAGCTCAGCCCTCGCCTGCCCTTCCTCCTTCCCTCCCTGCTGGGCTTGGAAGTGCATCAATTATCAAACACTGTACCCATCCCAGCTGTCTGCTCAAAGACACACCTGGGATGAGGGGACCCTGGCCCCTTCTCCTCGAGTGGGAACTGGGAGGTCCTGTGCCCCATCCCAGGGCTAAAGGTGGTGGCTGGGGACTGGGGGAGGGGGGTAATGGGTAAGGATGGGTGTGAAGTCGAGGCTGTGATGAGATCCAGATGAGACAGGGGGACAGGAGAGGGCGTCAGTTTGGAGAGATGAGTGATGGGTCTTTCTGAGTCACAGGGGGAGGACCATGAAAGATTCATACACATCTGTCCAAAACCATTCATATCCACCAAGGACCGCAGACACACAGCCCTGGGGGTGATGAGGATCTGGGGCTCAGTGAGGCCAGGAGAGGGAATAAAGGGGGTGTTTGAAGCTCGGCCTCCAGGGCCGGTACCCTGATATCCCTTGGGTGTGATGGTAAACTTCCTGAATGCCATAGAGCTGGGAGGGGCTGTCCACCCCTGCCCCAGGCCAGGCATAGCTCCTCTCACTCAAGGTCGGGGATGAGGGGGGTACGGTCACTGTGCCAACAGGGGCCTCACCAGGTTGCCCTCGTCATCGCCATCATCTCCATCCAGTGGGGGGTCGTCGGGGTGCAGGGCCCGGGCCAGGCGCCCCGAGGCCGACTTGCCATTGCAGCCCTGGTGCTCAGAGGTGGAGCTGCGGCCGCTGGCTGTGCGGTGCAGCCCGGGCACCTGCAGCGTGTCTGGCAGGTCAAAGGAGCTCTTAGCCTCCCGCTCCAGGGAGCCCCTGTGGCGATGGTCGCTGCCTGCTGGGCTGGCCCGCTCCTCCTCTGAGCTCTCCTCTTCGTCCTGGCTCTCCTGGCCCTCGCCCGACAACAGGGACCTCCGCTCCCCACTCGGGCTCCTCCGCTTCAGGCTGGGGGCCCGGCCCAGGCTGTTGCGGCTGGAGCGCCTGCTGGCCCAGCTGCTTGCTGCGCTCCAGGGGCTGTGCGGAGAGCTCCGGGCACTTGGCTGGGGATGAGCAGAGGAGAGGGTGGCCTCAGCCAGAGTCACGTGGCCCTGCATCCCCCACAGACACCCCATCTCCTGTGAGCCTCCTGGCATCACACCAGGTGCAGAGGCGCGATGGGCAGGAGCCTGGTGTCGGATGCCTGGATCCAGGTCCAGGCTTATTCCAACCGGCTGTGTGACCGTGGCCAAGTTACTGAACCTCTCTGTACCTCAGCTCCTCACCTGTAAGCTAGATGGGACACGGGCACCTATTCCACATTCAGTTGGTGAGAGAAGCCTGATACCAGCTGGTGGCAGTACAAAGCACTGGTCAGAGCGTCGGCCCTGACACCGGCCTCCTGGACTAACGTGCTGGTTCCGTCACCTACTGGCTTCGGAGCTTCCCACAAATCACTTGGGCAACCTGAGATGCAGGTCCCCCAATAGGGAGAGTAACAGCACCTGCTTTATAAGGTTGCTATGAGGGTTCAATGTGTCTAGGACACTGTGAGCAGCATCTGGAATCAGTGACCAGCTGGGGGCTACTATTACAATAAGGTATTAAGGAGGTACCACCACACACACACACACACACACACACACACACACACACACACACTTTACAAGGAGGCTCAGAGGTTGAGCCTCACTCAGTTCAGGAACAGAAGCAGCAGGATTTGAACCCAAGGCCATGGCTCCTCCACATGCCTGCATTACCAGCCCTGATCGACCTCCCGCAGCTCGTCCACCCATGGCTCGGGGGTATCTGCTCAGGCCTGCCCATCTCCCTCCTCTCTCCCTTCCTGATGTCCTCACATCTCCCACCGTCGGGCATCCACAGGCACCCCTACCGGTGACTTCATCTCGTGGGCTGCCCCGGGCTCCGCCGACCCGCTGCTGCTGGTGCGGCGGGAGGCAGGGCCCAGCGCCTCAGCCAGGCCGGTGCTGGAGCTCTTGGGCAGCGACATGGGCGTGGCGGCCGTGTGGATGATGAGCGGGGGCAACAGGCTCCTCTGTAGCTCCGGGTGCTCTCCCAGGGACACCACTGCGGGGGAGAGATGGGGAGACCCTGAGTCCACTCAAAGCTGGGCCAGGGCCAGGGGCTGCCCCCAGCCCCCCAGGACAGATACTCACAGGCCAAGCGCTTCTTCCTGTCCCCGTCGCCATCCAGGCTGGGGGAGAAGAAATCAGGCTCTGACTCGGACTTGGTGGCATCTCCCTAGGGGAGGGGAGCAGCGGGCCGTTAGGGAGCTGGCCCAGCAGGGGTCAGTGGGCTGGACGGAGGTCTCCCTGTCTTCACACGCACACACTACATAGAGGCCACGGGGACCAGCAACCACGGCACGAGACATGCACTGGCATCAACCAGACCACCCAGGCTTGGGGCCCGGGGCTCCCCAGGGTCCCTAACACCTGTGCCTCCCACCAGCCACACCTCAGAGAAGGCCACTGTTCGCCCCAGAACCCGCAGCACAACCAGCCTGGCTGGGACTGGCTCCAAGAATGGCCGAGGGGAGAGAGGATAGCTGGGTGGGTGGTGGCATGTGGCAGGGGAAGCCGGGGACCTGAGTGGTCACTAGATCCTCAGTTCCAAAGGCCACCTGCACCCCCTGCCTTCCCCCCATGGCTGCCCTCCCCGAGCCTCAGCCCCGAGGAACCCAGAAGGAAATTGAAAGACCCCAGAAAGAGCGGCTCAGCCCAAGGACGCCACTCCGGTCCCCCTGCTTCTCCCTACACCCTACCCAAGCTCCCACCCCTCCCCTGGCCCCATTTTTTACCTCTCTCTCAGTCTCTGGGACAGTTTTTTCTTCCTTCTTAGCAGGTCAGTAGGTTCCCCAGTAATTACACACTTCTCCTTAAGAAGTTATTAAAAAATACTTGATTGCTACTTTTGATAAGGACATAAATATTGCGTAATTGGCATCTCAGGGGATCATTTTCATTAACTCCGTTTGCGTCCCTAACAGAGCTTTTAATTATCAAGTGGGATCTCCAGGGGGCTGCTCGGGATGCGCAGCTCTGTGGGTCCTGCGGGAACCCTGACTTTGCCCTGAATCCGGGTGCCGGTGCAGGAACCAGCAGGGCACAGGTTCAGCGCTGGGGCCAGAGGAGTGTGTCCCCCCCCCCCCAACACCTGCTGGACCTCCTGGGAGGGTGGGGGGCCAGAGACTGGGAAGTGGATTGAAAACTCTGGCACATTCTGGCAAGAGCCATCCCTATCCCCTCATCCTCCAAAGACATGTCCTGAGCTGAGGCAGCTAGTGGGGTCTCCAACAGGGGCTCAGGGCAAGGGGGGAGCGAGAGAGATGGGGGAGCACGGTCTGGGCCCCGGATGGGATTCCACTGAGGCCAGGCGACTGGGACCCCCGGGGGCCCTCCGCGTCGGCACGCACACGCGGTGCACCACACACGTGCACACAGAGGATTCTAAGTCCCTTCCTTCTCCCTCCGTCCGCCGGTCTGTCGGGGGCGGAACATGCCCTTTGCGGGTGGATGGGGGCAGAGGCAAGGAGGCTTCTCTCCTCCATGTCCTCAAGGGGGAAGGGACTTAAAATCGAAGCCAGCCTCACGACACCAATGACCACCACGGCGACCACAGGTTGCACAGGAGCGGAGCGTGAACACGAGCACAGAGACATGGAGGCGGAGTGGAGGGGACACGGGGCACGGGGCGGGGGCATGCCGACTCAGGATCGCGTACCTACCCCCTGGGAGTCGACAGGCAGCTGAATACAGCTTAACTGTCCACTCGCATCTTCCCGTTTGCTGATTTCCTACAGGGAGAGGGGGAGGCAGGGGACGGGCGCTGGTCACAGGCGCTCAGGCTTTCAAACATCAGCAGTGTCCAGAGAGGAGGGAGAGAAGGAGCGATGCAAACCCGACAGCAGGGGACGTGAGACACGGGGGTGGGGGGAGAAAGGGGAGAGAGCGGCCTTCCAGAATTCAGCCACAGGCTCCAGGGCCAGAATGAATCTGAAGGGTGAGGAAGGAGGCCACGAAGATGGGGACAAGGGCAGGAAAGGCGATCAAGCCCCCGGGTAGTTCTAACAGCAGCCACCATTCGCCGGGTGTGCCAGGCATCACGGGCCGGCTTCATGAACACTAGCTTGCTTCCTCGCCAGGCGGGGAGCAGGTGCTGCCAGAGCAATCTTAGAGGAGGCACCCCAGGTCTGGAAAGACTGTGCACATCATACAGAGAGTCAGAGGTGCCTCGGGGCCTCGCACCTAAGACTCCAGCTCCCCCTTCCCGGCTGGGAGGCAGCAGGCTGGGGGAATGGGCAGGAGTCGGGGTGGGGAAGGAGGAATGGGTGGAAGTCAGAGGCTGGGGAGGAGACCAGGTCAGGATTGAGAACAGGCCTCCTAACTCCCATCCCTTCTGCCTTCGTCCCTCCCCATCAGAATGGCTCCTGCTGCTCCAACGGGGATGGGATGTGACAAGGAACACCGGGATGACAGCTATGATGTTGTTTAATATCAATTAATGGCCTCACACAGGGCCTGCTGCCTGTTCATTTAATTAAGTGTGTGGATGATAAATATACAGGGGTTCAGGGCACTGCCCCCTGCAAGTCAGGAAATCTACAGCCAGCCGGCTCCGGCCCCTGGCGGCGTGGCAAGGCCAGCAGGGGGCCACTCTCGAGGCTCCTGCTAATGGCATCCAAAGAAATGACGGCAGCCACTTCCTCCACGAGGTGGGCTGCCTCACATGCCATCACAGCGGCAGGAACCAGACTCCCCTGCCAGATTGTGGGGCTCCCAGAGCCACCGGGGCAGCCCCCTGAAACTTGGTACAGGAGGAGGTGGGCGTCTCTGGAGATATGCAGGTCACCGGCATCGAGCGCCCCCCTGCACCCAGGTGCTGGCTCACGTGCAGGACAGCAAGCAGCTGGCCCAGGCCCCCCGCAGGCCCTCCACGGCCATGCCACTGCCCACCCCATGGAGCGGGGGTTGGCGCTGAAATCCTGTCTCCATCCCGCCCAGCCCCGAAGCAGCAGGCCCTGCCGGAGACCCTCCCAGGAGTCACTTGTCCTCTGAAGGTTGAGGAGGCTGTGGCCCCAGGTCCTGGCTGGCCCCGTAGGCTGAGGCAGGCCCACAGTGACCAGGCCAGGCCCGAGGGCCAGGCTGCTCTCTTCCCACACACAGACGTAGCTGCTGCCTAGCAACCGGGCCGGCTCAGCGGCTCTCGATTTAACAAGGTGTTCGCTGAAAAAGGCCGCGGTGGGAGGGGGCTGTCTGCGCTGGGCACCGCCAGGACTGCCCAGGTGGCTATTGGCCAGCTGAGGGGAGCAGAACGGGCTTGGGGTGCTTTCCAGTCCCCCCCCACATAGTTCCACAGCAATTATTCTAGGGGAATCTTGGCTGTCAGGAGCTGTGGCCTGGGAGGGGCTGAAGGACCGTGTCCCCACTCTGCTCCTCCTCCCACAGGCCGAGAGCCGTGGCTGTGGCTGAGAATGGTGGGTCTCCATAGAGACCCTGGCTTTTGTGGGAGCCTGGTGGCACCCCTTAACCCTTCACGCCCCAGGGAACTACCCAGTCAGGGTCCTGCTGCAGGGAGAGCACCAATGTCCCTCCCTCCTGCAAGAGGCCCGCCGTCACCAAGGCAGGGCTCCACCAGCGGCCCTCACTCACCCAGCAGGAGGAGAGGCGATAATGGGGAGCTACAGAGTTACAGGGGGCGCCGGAGAAGGCCAGTGAGGGACAGATGCCCCCGCACCCCACCAGCCTGGCCCTCGGGGAGCAGCCCTCCCTGGCAAGGCTGGGAAAAAGGCGGAAAATAGATTTTTGTTTTTCCACCGTGTGCCGGGTATTTATAGACCAGGCCGCAGCGGGAGTTTCCATCCGGGTCACCCACAGAGAACTGGACCGAGCGCTCCTCCACACCCAACCTGGAGCGTTTCTAGGTTGGGTCAACCTCCCCGGTGCATGGCACCGGGCTGGGCCTGGGGCGGGCAGAGGGGCAGGGCCGAGGGAGAGGAGGAGGGTGCAGCCTTTCGGGCAGAGGCTGTGCCCCGGCCCAGCACGGGCGGGATCAATGTAAGTCAATATTAATTGATGACGCTGCCTGTGACGGAGGTGATGGAGCCGGGGCTGGAAATAGGACGCTCATCTCTGCCATCCCTGCAGCTAATTGGGCTCATTTCTCACCCTGGGCAGCTCGGCCCTGCCCGGGTCCTGGTGGCATCTTCATCATCTCAGCCAGAGCTCAGATGACTTGCCCACAAGCTTCCCCCCACCCCTCAGCTCAGATGGGTCCCCCCAGATGTCCCCGAGAGCACCTGTACTCAGGGATCCAGACGCCCTGTGTGCTGACACTTGTCTAGCTTTCTGAGAAAGGGTCTAGCCGACTCTGAAGGGGAAGCCCACTGGGCAGCTAACCTGGGGACCCAAAGACACCCCCCCACATGCACCCCATTTCCTGAGTGCCAAGGGGCTTCCTGAGACCAGCGCCTCCCACCCTTAGTCACCCCCACCTAATCTGAAGGGTGCTTCCTGCAGAACCTGCCAGGCCCCCAAAGGTCAGGCTGGGCAGCCGATTCCTCCTGGAAATGGACCGTTGCGGGCAGGGGGTTACCTCTGCCTGGAAGCCCTCCACCAGAATGGCGACAAGCAGGTTAAAGAGCACGTAGTTGCCAAAGGTCATGAGGGCAATGAAGTAAAGGGCAGCCCAGGACGATGTGGAGGCCATTCCATTGTAGAGCACCTTGTTCCAGTCCTCCTGGGTCAGGATCTGTGGGCAGAGGGCGGGAGTCAGGGCGTTGGCCAGGGTCACCCCACCACCCCTGCCCACCCTGTCCTGCTGCCCTCGCACCTGAAAGACGGTGACGATGGCCCAGAGCAGGGAGTCAAAATTCTTCCGGTCCGGCAGCGTGTCCCCGTCCCGCTCGGATGCAAACTTGCAGCCGAAGAGATGCATGCCCAGGATGCTGCAGACACAGGAGCCATGGGATGGGCTCAGCCCCAACAGCCCTGCCCCCGAGGCCCCTCCCCGCAGGCACCCGCCCTCACCTGAAGATGAAGATGAAGAGCATGAGCAGCATGCAGAAGGTGGCCACGTTGTCCATGGTCTTCATGAGCACCACGAGCTGCCGCTGCAGCGCCGGCAGGAAGCGCACCAGCTTCAGCACCCGCATCAGGCGGAAGGTCCGCAGCACCGACAGGCCGCCCCCCTGCTGGCCCACGATCTCCCACACACTGCAAGGGGGTGGGGGCAGGGAGCCTGAGCCTGCGGCATGCCCACCCTCTGTCTGCTCCCCGCCCCGTTGACGAGGGGCCAGCAGCACCCGGGGGCCTAGACTGGCTGGCACAGCCCTCGGGCCTCCGAGATGTCAAGGGTCTGGGGGACAGCTCCTGCCCTCGCCACCCTCCCGGCCAGGCCAAAGATCACACAGCCTGGCAGTGGACAGCCCTCTCCCTCAATCGGCCAATGCAATAGCATCCAGTTATGGAATATTCGCTTTGTTCTCTTCAAATGAAATCTAAAGCCAGTTCCAAAAAGCCATAAAGCAGTTCTCCTGGCTCCTGGCTGGAGGGGACGGAGCACTTTCCCGAGGTGTTGGAAAACTCTAAAGCAAGCGGTCGGTGTCTGAGATGGTTTCCAAGCACTTTGCAAGCAGGGTTGGCTGCCGGGCCTCAGACCTCCTCCAACTCGTCTCCGAGGCCAACTCCCCAGTCCTCACCCACCCGGGCCTGCGTGGGACTGAGGACAAGAAGTAGAAGTGGGGAGAGGAGGCCGTAGAGGGGCTTAGCCAAAGGAGATGTGAGCCGGGTAGGACCGAGGGACAGAGTGGAGTGGAGCATGGGGGGCACAGCGAGTCCCCGCCTGGGGGCGCGGCAGGGCCTGTGGGTCAGTGGGACCCCTGGCACAGGCTGCGTGGCTCCTCGCCCCAAGCCGCCCCATGGACACTCTTCAGGCGAGAGGCAGTGCAGGGACGGTCGTACCTGATGACCACAATGACGCCGTCGAAGATGTTGTAGGGGTTCTTGATGTAGCCAAAGGGACCATACACGAGCAGCTTCAGCAGCATCTCCAGGGCAAAGAGGCTGGTGAAGACGATGTTGCTGATTTCCAGGGCGTTGGTGAGCTCCTCGGGCTGCAGGGCAGGGCGGGCGTGAAGTAGCCGTGGCTTGTCCCTGAGCCCCTCACCCCAGTCCCCCCAAACACGGGACCACAGGGTGAGGAGGAGCAGGAACAGAAAGCCAGGGGTTCTGGATGCTCAGGCTTATGGGGAACAGCCTCCCACAAAGGGTCCCCCCACCATTCCCAGCTCTGGGTCTCAGATCCTGGGGCCTGCCCTGTGGGCTCTGCCCACCTCCTGCTGGCAGCTCTGAGACCCATCGGTCCTGTGCTGCCAGGTCAGCCCAGCGAGCCCAGGCCAGTGGCGCAATGATGCTGGCCCGTGTGACGAGATGACTGCCAAGGCCTCACACGCACACCAGTCACACAGCCACCGGCAAAGGCACACGTGCTCCACAATTACTCTGTGGACTTGGCAGCCTCCTCTCGGACAACTACTGGCCAGCCTGCTTCCTTCCAGACAACGCACCAACAGACGTCACGCACAAACACACATACGCACACCAACGTGCTGATACACAGGAGGGAACCCCCAAGAAGGGTTGTCACAGAGGAGGCGGCTCCGGAAGCTGCTACCGGAGACCAGGACACCTCGGTTCCTTCAGTCCACTCACTGTGTGACCTTCAGGAATGAGGACCAAGGACACATCCCAAAGAGGTGATCTGAACTAAGGACAAAGCATCTCACCTGCTTCTCCAGCTCACTAGTCACCGCCCTTCCTTCCTCCTCTTTTCAATATTAAGTGCTGACTGCATGCCTAGAACTGCACCAGGTACAAAAGGGGCTGCACAAACATGCCAGCCATGGCCTCTGCTCCCGGGAGCCCAGCAGCTGGCCGGAAGCAAGGTGTACACACACAACACAGGTGAATGATCGCCAGAGGCCTGCAATGCTTCCGTGACAAACTCCATGACCCAGACAGTAAATCCGGGAGCTCGGGGACAGAAGGTGAGGGAAGGACACGCCGGGAGAGCCTTCGTCAGCAGCCAGCATTTGACATGAACTCTGAACGGAGAGTGGGGTCTCTCCAAGCAGAGGGGAGGGAAGGCATCACAGGTCCAGCACAAGAAACGAGCCCTGTGCCTGGCCGGTGTGGCTCAGTGGTTGAGCATCAACCTATGAACCAGTGGGTCACGGTTCAATTCCCAGTCGGGGCGCATGCCCAGGTTGTGGGCTCGATCCCCCATGGGAAGCGTGCAGGAGGCAGTCAATCAATGATTTTCTCTCATCATTGATGTTTCTATCTTTTTCTCTTTCTCCCTTCCTCTCTGAATTCAATAAAAATATATTAATAAAAAAAAGAAAGAAAACCTTAACACTAAAAACAAAAAACAACTCCCATTACATAGCACATTAAAAGGAACCATTACAACCAAGCAGTTTATTTCAAGATTGCATAGGTATTATGTTTAACTAGTGGCCCGGTGAAGGATAATAAATAAATAAGCAGAGGAAGCCCCTAGTCCTTCAGACACCTCACCCTGTTAACCTGGCTGCCTCATCTGGCCGGCTGTCCAGGTAGGGCACCCAAGCCTGGAGCCAGGCCCTGGACACCACCAAATGGATCCTACCGGCCCCAATCCGTGTGACCAGCCTGGGTGGAAGTGGGGAGAATTGGGAGGAAAGGCCTCTGACTGCCAGGTGAGGCGCGTCTGGAGGTCCGTGGCTGCTCAGGAAGAGAGAAGCTCTCAACTGGGCATGCGTCCTCTTCCAAAGGCAGGCCTGGGGGGCAGAGCCAGGGTCAGCAGGCAGGGCCGAGAGCCAGCTGCCCAGGGAGTGAGTGGCTGTCACAGGGGCTGGTGTGGCACGGAGCCTGTGGCTCCGGTAGATCTGAATCGAGTCTTTTCTCCCCAGATGGCGAGTGAGGGCAGGAGTGGGCACCGCCACCGGACCTAGTGAACGGGTCACAGAGAGACGGGACCTTTGTCCACTGCCTGTGAGTGCGGAGCAGGTGGTGGGGAGGGGCTTATGTCAGGACAGAGAAAGCCCAGGGCGCAGAGCCCTCCTGAGAGAGTGGAACCCCCCCACCCCCACTCTGTGCTCCCAAGTCCAGTCTCCCAGGAAGCTGTGATCGGCGAGCCTGCCTCCCTGTCACTCTGCCACCTGCCCAGTTGTTCGCTCTGGGATCGGATAAAGATGAGGCGCATAGACCACGCAGGCGCGATATTTTGCGGGTCCCCAGGCTCGTGCGTCTCACCTCATGCCACCCACACAACAGCGGTCACACCGGGGGTTTATAGATGAACAAAAGAAGTCAAGAAGATGGTGAATGACAGGTTCAAAGTCACAGGGCGGGAGAACCAGGGAGGGCGCCCAACCCACCTCACTCTGACTCCAATAAATACCAAGCAGGACCAAACCCAATGTGGTGACAGCGACAGGCCCGTGAATCAGATACACGGATGGACTGACTATACTATGTATCTTCTAATGAACATAAAATTACATTTCACATGAACATAGATGTATGAATGAAGAACAAGTTGAGCCCAGGCAGGGTGGCTCAGTGGTTGAATGTCAACCTATGAACCAGGAGGTCACGGTTTGATTCCCCATCAGGGCACATGCGGGCTTGGTCCCAGCGTGGAGCGTGCAGGAGGCAGCCAATCAATGATTCTCTCACATCACTGATGTTTCTATCTCTCTCTCCCTTCCTTTCTGAAATCAATAGAAATATATTTTAAAAAAAGAACAAGTTGACTTGAAAACGTAACTGAAGTACACTATGTACATAGAGCAAATACATTATACCTCAACAATAAAAACGAATACAACTTTTTTAAGTAGCTGAACGCCCTGTAGTCTTTGTTATCGTGTATTTACTCCGTCAGTGAGCCCCAAAAGTACAACTACTACCAGGCGTGTGGAGGGAGGATGTTTTCATCATGTCCTAACGTTATCCCTGGGGTAGAGACAGTCTGTACCCGGTGTTCATTGGCACACACATGCTCACACACGCTCACAAACCAACTGAGAGCCTCATCAGAAGGATGGTGCAGGGCTCCCCCAAGGCCTACGTGATGGATCCTTGTTGGGGTGCGAAGTGGGGGGGGCGGGGCAGAAAAGCCTGAAGCCTACACCTCATCCCTCCAGGCAGCTCAGGGACTGGAGAAGCAGGTGGGAGGAGGGCCGGGCCCTCTCCCTCAGCCTGTCCTCTCTCCCCTCCACACACTCACTGGGTGCACGTAGGGTCAAGGCCTATCCTCTCCCAGGACCCTGGGACCCCCCCCATGATCCATGGGAAAAAGCCCTCCTCCCCCAGACATCCAGGTCTGTCCAAGTTACTAAATCGGAGGCTGGGAACATTCTGCAAATGCAGGACGAGGGCACAGAGACACAATCTTAGCAACAGAGTTGCCCCAGGGACCAGAGCCGTGATCCCGGGGCCTCCGCAGCGGCAAAGGGGTTGTGAGGGAGCCAACTTCTGCTCGCACCCTCGCCAGGCCCTCAGGCTGGTGCCTTCCTCCCAGAAGATCACTTCCTCCCTGCCTCCTCCACGGCCTGCTCCCAACGGTGTGGTCACTGAAAGGAGGTTGCTTAGGTGCAGGGCTAGGCCCGGCCGTGCGTTTCTCTGCATCTGTCCCCGCGGCCTCCAGCCCCCCTAGAGCCCATGTCCTCATGTCTCCCTGGGGCAGATGCGCACAAGCCCGTCAGGCCCTCCCCCCTGGCCAGGACGTCCTTTCTCGGGTCTAGACTGCATCCTCCCTCCGACCCATAGAGGTCAAGGCCCAGTAAGCGCTTTGGTGAGCTGAGGCCAGGCAGCCCGAGCTTCTCCCGCCCAGAGGTCCCAGGTCTTCTCAGGGCTGATGCTAACTGTACATTCCCCACTCCCAGGTCCCAACACCTTCCCTCCCTCAGCCTGTCACCTGAGAGCAACTGCGGCCCCAGGTAAGCTGTACATACTTCCCAGCACCAGGTCTCCCCTGACACCCACGGCAGCTCCATCAACGAGTCCTGACCGTGCCCACAGCGTGCACAACCCTGGTGATGCAAGGTGGGATCGAACCCGAACACAGGAAGCCTGCCGACTCTGGGACTTTCCCCCTGTGTGACCTGGGGCAAGTCCCTTAACCTCTCTGATCCCTAGTGGCCTCTTCTGTGAAACAGGGTAACACCACCTCGCAGGGAGGCTGCCTTGCAGAACACAGATCAAGCCTGTGAGCACACCCAGCCGAGAGCCACGCTCAAGCGGCCCCGTGGGCACTGCCAGTGGAAGCGCCTCACACGGGGCAGGACAGAGTGCCTGCAGGGCTGTCACTCAGCACCAGGAGCTCCAACCCCACCACCGAGGTCAGTGGGCCAGGGGGGAGGAGCAGGCGGGAGGGGAGCGCCCAATGAGGACATGCCCAGCTGGGCGCAGTGTGAGCCAAGGTGCAGAGGAGGGAAGGGCCGGGCATACCGGGGACCAAGAGTTAAGTGGTCTGCCTGGGTCAGAGGGGGGAGGGGGCCGGTGGGGGACAAGGCTGCAGGGTCAGCAGGGCCGGGCCCAATGACTCCACGCCACAGGCTGGGCTTGCCTCTGGCACATGCTGCCATTGAGGCTGCCGGGGAAGGGG